AGGTTATTTATCTATTTATACCTTACGTTGTATATATTAGAATGGGGGGGAGGGGAAGGCTCTCTTCTGTGCTCTGACTGGCTGCGATTTTTGGGGCTGCAGGGGAGGGGTGCCTTTCAGGGACCCTCCCCTCCCCCCCCCATCCCAGCCAGGGTCTGCAGCTAACCACAGGGTGGGTTGGGGCAGGGCGAGCCCATGGACATAGGCCCTTTCCCTGCTCTCGCTGCCTGTCCGGGTCAGGTTGGGGCCGGGGTTTTCGGATCGCGGCAGGGTGTTGGCACAGGGCCGCGGAAGGAGGGGAGGGCCTGGGCAGGCATTGCGGGCACCGCTGCCCACCTTCCCGCTGCCAACTCCCTGCTGCGTGCTCCTCCCCAGGGGGACCTTCTCACGGCTGGACCCGCTGGGGCAGGGGGTGGCAGGTCTCCCGGCTCGTGCCCACTCGCTCCCCACAGGACTGCGTTTTGCTGGGGTCTCCTAACGCACAAGAGCACTGCACGGGGGGGACGCCCCTGCCTGCCTCCTTGGCCCCAGGGCGGGGGGGAACCAGGCAGGCCAGCAGCAACAGGGCATCTGGCTGGTCTCACCTAGGGCAGGGGGCTTGTATCGAGCATTTCCTCCCTCTTCAGGTGGGCCGGAAAACAAGATTGGGGGGGGGAGCAGGCCCAGGGCATTTCCCGCTGGATTCCAGCCGGCTCGGAGCGAGGAGAGTCGTTGCGTTTTTACAAAGCTGCTTCCGCAACTATTCAAAGCTGCAAAAGGGTAAAAATGAAAACGTTCAAGGTGGGGGTGGGGGAAGAAGAAAGTGAAAAGCTATGGAGAAAGTTTAAATTTAAAGAAAAACCTGTAAATAAAATGGGAGTTCTGTAGAGAAATGAACTGTTTTTACCAATAATGAAACCACTGGATGTTATTTTAAAATAAAGGTGCGTGAGAGAGAGAAAAAAAAAAAGCCAGTATACCTTTTTGGTTTTGTTTTGTTTGTTCGTTTTTCTTTTCTTTTTTTGTCTTTCCACAAAGGTGGAAGGCTGTAAAGTGTAT